GACAGAAGTTGAACCTGGGGAGAATCGAGCATCTTTGTAGCTGGTACAAAAACGAAATGAAATGATAATAAGACTTTTATGCCTACTTCTAACCGTTAAATATCTTTCACGAAGGCAAGAGGAAGAATTTTAAAAGCTCTGTCAGTAATCATGGTAAAAATTCCTATGTGAATAGCAACCGATTACGCTCTCACAACGTACGTTTGCGATGTTAAGTCCTTATCACATATACTTCTGATGACCAAGACTGGACGTCGAAAGGGACATTTCTCAGAACCGCACATTTCCACGAAACCTGCGTAACTGGGTTGTCATTTTCACTTACTGAACAGACTTGAATGCCAAACAGAGATCGATTATCGCTCAGATTGGGATCGTGGGATCCTTCTGAAGCAGAACTTTCGTTTGATTGGTTGATCTCTACCCGGGACAGAGCTGCAGACGGAACATTTTCGGCTAAGTTTCAATATACCCCGCGCAGCCGGGATATCGTTTCCGTAGCTAGGGAAAACTTCGCTTCGAGCCGAGCTTTCTCTTCTAAGAATCCTCCCGTTTACACCAAAGCTACAAGAATCTCATTTCTCAGAAAAGTCCCGTGTAGGGGCGACCGTCGCTAGATGTGGTAGCCCCTTAATTGGAAAGCACCTCCGGCTAGATTTCGAATCTCGGCGAGTTCACTGCTCATTTTGCCCGTTTCATGCTTCAAAAAATCAAATGACTTAACAAATTGAATTGCTGAGGAAAAGGCGGAAAGGGATGGGAGATTCTGAAAAGCCAATTGTAACAACACAGTATACATAATAGCACAAAAGAGCCTTTTTTTTTTGTCTAGAACGGTTCATACGATTAAGAAGAGGCAAGTAAACAGGGAGCAAAAAAGGCCCGCTGCCAACAGTTTGCTGAAATCAAATTCATTGCGGATAATTAGAATGACATTGAGAGGAACGGAGTTGTTTAACCTTTTGAGGCCGGGGCTTTGGTATCAGTAAAAGCTACCAAAGGACGGGGAATCTTGAACCGAATGCTTTCCCCCCCTTTAAGAAATCACCTCCTATTTGCAACAAAGATTCTTGTGTGTAGTTTAATGGATCAGAGGGGTGTATCTATGAAATGGAAAATGGGGGAAAAAGACATGGCCACTAAAGTGGACAACCCTGTCTTTTCAAAGAGAGGACTCTATGGCCACTATAATGGCCATCCCGTCTTCAAAAGGTTAACCGAACTTGAAATGAAAAGGATAGCTGGATGAGTTCATGATAAAAACTATAGTCTTTGTTAGAGCTTCTTTATTATTATCAGAGAGTGCCATGAACATAGCGCACCACAACCGAAAAGGTAGTTTTCAAATAATTTGACCTTGATATTGTGGATTTAAAGGTCAAATATTGAGCTGAAAGCTAATCCTTCATTTTGGCGACAGCAATTACTTAGGAAAGTGAAGCGAGTCGGCCTCAGAGAAATTTCAGTGAGAGAAACTAATTCCTTAGTATACGCGAAACGAAATTTTCAAAATATGGTTTTAAGGTTTTTAATGAAACGATGTGTTACATCAGAATTGTTATGAATGAAATACTACTAAAAATATCTGTTAACCGTTATTGCCTTCCTTTTCACTTCCTTGTACGAAGTAAAGGAAGTATTGTCATCGCGAAAAATTTCGGGTATCATATTTAAAAGAAAGTGTCCATTTTGATTGCTCACAAATCCATTTAAATGTTTTTTTTCGAACACTTGCACGTACGGACAGAATAAAGGGCTATTTTTTCCAAAACGGATTGTGAAATGGATTTAAAATTGATTTTTGTGACGTATGTATCTCACATTCGAAAACGATTAGTGGTAGATCGTTGAAATTTTGTACATGAAACTGCTGTAACATCTAGCTGTGCACCTCCCTTTCTTGTTGCACTCGACCGCACTAAATTTGTATATGTATCTATGTAATATTTCAGTTGCGTAGGAGGAATCCGGTAGTTTCAACTTTGGCTGTAGACATGCCTGAATGGAAAGGCATACAGACGACGATAACAAAACTGGATTTTGATAAATCATAAGTAGATGCATAAGTATAACTAAGCTGCTATTTGTTAATTTTAGGTTGTTATGTAACATGTAAAGATCTCGAATGTGGGAGAACAGATGAATTTAGAATGAACAAATAGTAATTCATTAATTAGTATTTGTTCGGCGTGTTAAAATTGACGGCGTGTTAAATTGACGGCGTGTTAAATTGACGGCGAGTTAAAATTGTTTGGCGTGTTAAATTGACTTTCGTGTTGTTTATTCTCCCATCAATAAAATTCCAATTTCCATACTCAAGGACCCCATTCTGGATATATATTCCTGGGGTATTTATAGAATTCCTTGTCAATGTGGTTTAATTTACATTGGCCAAACTAAGAGAACCTTAAAATTTCGCGTCAAGGAACATGAGGCATATGTTAGAATGATTAAACAGCAAAGATGTAACGTTTCAATCATCACTCTTTTTTTCATTTGTTAATAATCTCTGATGTAAATAGTCACTAATGTATCTCCACCATTAACTAAATAAATACTTCAGTCAGCTAGATGTGTGTCGTCAGCCTAGAAATCCCCTAGACGCCGAGTTCACAATATGTATATAGTATTACATGTTTAAAAAGAATAAATTGAATTTAATTAAATAAATTTAATTTAAATACAAATTTAATTGAATATAAATTTAAACAAATTTAAATTTAAATTTTAACAAACACGTATAAAGTAAAAAAGCAAATTTAAAGCCAAAATAAAAAAAAAAAAAGCCAAAATAATTTTTTAAAAAAATGTGCAAACATATAAAAGATTTAATTCTCGAACTAATCTACAATATCATTTAAATTCAGAAGCATAAGCAAATCAAGTGCAAAACCAATCCATGAAAATAAATTCACGAATTTAACAAATTAAAATTAAACCAATTTTTTTATTTTTTTTTAAATGCATAAGTGAAGGACTGTTGAGTAGGCAGGAGACAGACTTATCAAGGGGAAGTTGCCTCCAAACCTAACTTTCCAATCATTCAATTTGTGTTTCGTCATTCATGCAGGCAAGGGTAAAGGTCAAAATCAAAAGTAAAAAGAAATACCAATAAAGTGGTACCCTTAGAAATTAGCATTTAAGAATTAAAGTTCTAAAAGGAAAATACTAATGAAGTCTTTACAGAAACAAGTAAAGTCAAGTATTAAATTAAACTTTTTTTAAAAAAATTAAATTTTTCAAAAAATTAATTTTTTATAAAAAATAAAAAATAATTTAGAAACCAATGTATTTTAGAAACCCTTGTCTACAGAAACCTCCCCGACACGAATATGCATATCAAAAAAAGAAAAAAAAAAAAAAAAAAAAAAAAAAAAAAAAACTAAAAAAGAACTAGACATAATCCATATAAACCAATAAGAAACAAAAAGAACTAAATCACAATTTTTAAAAAAACAAATATATACTTAAAAATATAATTTCATATTTAGAAAATACTTAAATACTACATAAAAAATTTAAAAAAATACTTTAATTAAAGTAATTAATAATAATAATTTAATTATTTTAATTAAGTAAATTGTGGTTTTAGATCAAGATTTCTTACTTTTCTCTCTCTCTCTATGTATATATCTATCCTCTTATCCGGCTCCGTGAACTCGGTGTTTTTATTCTTATGTGTTGGTAAATTATGCATTTTTGAGTTTTAAAAGTGAATCAGTTATGTTGTACTTGTTATAAAGTTTTGATGCCTTTAGTTAATATACACGCCAGTAGTTGTGGAGTTATCAATAAATTAAATCTTTAAGTGGCACTAAGCCTAATGAGACATTTGTTTACATTTGAAATTCTAAGCAGAAAAGTGAATTAAGTTAGTTGGTGCAGCAGCTACAGTCTTTTTGCTCAGCGGAACCCAAATTTAACTTTCAATCTCGTGCATCGAAAAGTTTGTCTTCATGCAGGTTGGCAGAATTTCTTGTTTTTCTCTACACACTCTAATTGAAAAAGTGGTTTTTTTTTTTTTTTTTTTTTTTTTAACTGCTGTAAACTGTATTTGGTGTTTAAAGTTTTTCTGTATTTTACAATTTTTAATGAAGATATTTTTAATTTTTGTGTATTTTTGCCTTGCCGCGAAGTGTGAGCTGAATTTATTGAGAAATATATCTTTAATGAAATTCGAGGAGATAAAATTATATAAGCTGCAGCTAAAAGTGAGTATAATTTAATAGGCCGTACAAGTGGCCTATAGTAGTCACGTGGTGCACACATAATATTTTTCAAAGTTTCACTCATTTTTACTTTCATTTTCATAATCATCACTTTCATTTTTAATAAAATATAAAAGGATATTTTCAATATTTTATAGTTTTTATTTCAGATATATTAATAAAATTTCCTTCAGAATTTTTGTGCAAATCTGCAACGGAAAGTTTTAAGCAAAAGGAATGTTTGCAAAGTTATGTTTGAATCATAATTAAGAAACAAAAATTACAGTGACTATTGTTTTTTTAAATATTACGTGTTATATTACAATAAAAAAGTAATGAAATACATGATTCTAATTTTTACGATTTTTTACTATGTGTGTACCCAATGAAAGAACAATGTGTCCCTTGATGTGGGATGAAAATTGAACTGAATTGAAAATAATGAATTGAAAATTTCTGAAAAATAAACTGAAAATTTCAGTTCATTGACTTCATTTAATGTTGACTAAAAAATACCCCATTTTGTGAGAAAGCGACTCACCAATAATTTTGTTAAAATTGTTTTTAAATATCAGTTTTCTCATAGGAAAAATGAAAAACTATGAAAAGAAAACTGCCATTCCCAATCTTCTTTATAATATAATAATCGTATAATAATACGATATACAAATTTAATAGAACCTCTCCATATTGTCTGCCACTAGATAAGTTAACTAAAATATAATTTTTTGGAGCCTTATTTCATTTAATATACTCCTGTTACAGATGGGGTAAGAACAAACAGAAACAAAATACAGCAAACATTGAAATTTTTAATGACACTGAAATTACACAATGTATTTACATATCACATCAGACATCAGTTCTATAAAAGCTTATGTTCATTACAAATAAATAATGCACAGTTTAATGCAATATTAATCTATACATTCGAACATATTTATACTTGTCTTGATGCAGAAACAGTGAACACTTAATGGCAACTTTCTTTATTTGTAAAAGATAACGTCTGTGAAATCATTATTTTCTATGTACAGCTGTAGACGTCAGAAAGCGTTAGAGATATGTTGAGTCCTGTGGAATGAAAAATAAGTACATAAGTCTAAACTAAATTATGTTTAAAAAACTAAAAGAAAACATGTTTCATGTAAATTTTTAATATGACTAACACTGTTACAATTAAAAACTCTTTTTTGGTTCTTTTACCACACAAATGTGTCCGGAATGACAAATTTTGAAAAAAAAAAAAAAAAAAAAAAAAAAAAAAAAAAAAAAAAAGTTTGATGTTTTTCCATACAGAGATGTCCAGGAAACCATCTCTTACAGAAATACTTACCTAGGTTTAGTTTAGTTTAGTTTAGTTTACTAGTATGCTGCAACCCTCCTGGCCGACAATAATCGGCCTCATGGTTAACGCAGCACACCCGACGCAGACAAACAACAACAAAATAATAATAATAATAATGAAATAAATAAATAAAAGATTAAAATATTTAAAGTCCTATTCCTATGATAGTCTTGTTTTCATTCACAATCCTCATAATTTCTGTTGCGCACAGTTTTCAAGAATTTTCTTTTTTGATTTACATTCTGTTCATTTATTTTTCCAAATCTCGTCCTCACACTCTCGGTCAGTTTACATTCTTCCATAAAATGAGCTGCATTTCCGTACTTCCCACAAGCCAAGTATTGATCATTGCCCTGGAGATTAAAACGTTTTAAATAGGCCGGGAATCTACCATGATCCGTGATAACTTGAATAGTATCTATATTATTAAATAGATCCATTTTTCTTTTTATGGTCAAAATCCTCAAGTAACCCTTATTTTTATTTGAACCATTCCATTCCCGAGCCCATTTCTCAATTATACTTGCTTTCATTTTTCTCAAGGTAATTCTTCTGGAATCATTAATAGCCTCATAAATATCACCCTCTCCCAGGGCAGCCTCTTTAGCTAACATATCCGCCCTTTCATTCCCGATAACACCAATACGTGCCTTGACCCAATGAAAATATATACCATTTTTCTCTCTTATTTTGTTATAAATGTTTTTTATACCCAAAAGAAGTCTATTGCTTGGTTCCGGATTTGCCAAGCCTTGTAGGGCCGAGAAAGCATCAGAATAAATATGTATTGTAGTAAAGTACTGTTTCAAGTTTTTATAACTATTATACTTACCTAGGTATAAGAACGCACGTAATTTTTCTTTCGCTTCAAAGAAGTTGAAAGTTGTTCATCCCTAAACTAACCAACTTTCAGAAATTTTTCGACTATTTCTGTTATGACTTATCTTACTTGCGGACAGTAACATCTGAGTAAGTCCACGAATTTCAACGTGGCTAGGAGCGCAGTATTATCTTTGCCACTTGCTTGGGATGTGGACACCGTATAGTTGCCACTTGCATGGGATGTGGACACCGTATATGACTTTACACAGTTCCATCCCAGCTTTGGATAATCCACAGGGACGGATTCAAGGGTTATCCATCTCTCTTTCCACACCACCAAAGGACGTTCGGCTTTCCGTGTATTTTAAGTGCTCCCAAGCCACAAAGACACTGTACATCCAAACCTATCTAAGTTGCAAAGATAAAGACGTAAGATACAGACATTCCGCAAAGACGTCCAAGCCGCAAGGACACTGTACATCCACTCATCCATATTGTTACGAAATGCTCAGCTGCGGTAAGATAGCTTCCCCGCAAAGCGGTCTTAGGGTTGCCAGATTTGGTGCACGCGCATTTGGCGACAAAATAGGTTATATGCTATAGACGGAGTGAGAAAATTCGGTAAGCATTCTTGGCGGTTTTCCTCGGGAAAGCTCTCGAAGGTAGGATAAAGCTATATATAACATGCCTGCACGCAAAGAAAGTAATACTTTGAGTTCAGACATTAGCTTGAGAGCGACTGAACCGAGTCGGGAACTGCATTTTAGTACTTTGCTGTGAAGCTCTCTTCATCGTTGTAGCCTGAAGGCTGTGTTGCTGATTGTTTCAACGTGTTTAGCGTAGTTTTTCGAAAACTGTAACGTGTCTTTGGAACTCTCCTATATAATACTGGCGAATAAATTGTGTTTTGGTTCTTTATCAAGTGCTATCGTCGATTATTTCAAATCCACCAACCTGTAGAACGCAATAATGTAAAAAACATCCAAGCCTTCTCTGGGATTACAGTGTGGCCCAGCGATACGGCAGTCAGCAACGCTAACTACTGTACTAATCAGAGCGACTTTCCCAGTCGTTTACTGAGTAAAACAATTCCTTTTAGGACAGATTTTGAATTCTTGTAAATATCCTTGAAATTTTAAATGTGCTTATTCTCTATTTTTATGACGCTGAATTTTTTTGTGAAGTTACGATGATTCGAGCCATTTCGTAGTGGTTATTGGGCGTCGTTCGAAGATTCTATGATATCATAAGAGATTTCAGGATGCTATTTGATTTAAGGTAATATTCTGGAAATTCTAGCCGAAATCTCTACCCAATTACACTAAAAACAAAACTTGGGAGAAAATTTTGCTTTATATGGACCATAAGAAAGCAGACAAAAATTACATCAGACTGAATACTAAGGCAATATCTGCAAATCATATCAAGAAGACAAATATTATTTATCCCATTTAGAAAATTGTGTACAAAAATATACATAGGACAAATGTAGAAAGTAATAGAATGTAGAATTAAAGAGTCCGAAGCGAAAGTTTATTAAAAGCCAATTTTAGATGTTGGATAAAAATCTAGATCAAACTGTTTCTTTTTAATTAAACTCTGCAATGAAAATCCATCTGAAAAGTCTACATTTATCTCAAAGCGCATGTAAAATATAAATAAGTAGGATTTGCTATTATTCTTCCTAGTGTTCTTAAATTACAGCATATATTTTTTTAAGTAAAGGTTGTGTTAGTGCGAAACTAAACTTTCACTATACATTAACCATGTTCACAGTTTCAGAAAGACATCGATTGAGAAATACATTGATTATTGAGTTTTTGAATAGTTCGAAAAGAATCAAATGAACAAAACCTTCTCATTTTTAAAGGATTATGGCTTCTGCATACATACCGTATTTTTTTTTTTGCAAAAGACACCCATGGCATTAAGGAAGCACTTACATACCAGTAGACATATTCTAGCTGTAATTCTCCTTTATGAGCAAACTGTTTCCCACCCAGAAAGTCCTTTATGTGAAAAATGGTAATCGAATAGCTTTTGTGATTACCGTCTAAGGATCGGTAGATCTTGGTAGTAGTATCTTGGTGGTAGATCTTGGTAGTAGTATCTTGGTGGTAGATCTTGGTAGGAGTTTAGAAGGTAGTATGGTAGATCTATTCTGCGATGACCTTAAGACGAAATGTGTCTAAAGCTGTCGGTCAGGTGCTTTTAAATTTCCTGCCAAAGGTTCGGATGCAACTGCTGTGTGGATGCAATGGCATGTGACCACGCATTGTTTGCGGAGGAAGATAATTATTTTCTATGAAAAGAGCTTTACGACAAAGAGGACCTTTCTCAATGGACAGGTGACAGAAATGAGACATCTAAAAATTTCGTGTTTGCCGCTAGGTGTATACAAAAACATATCTACCAGCACGAAACAACATCTCAACATATGGGTAACCTAAGATATGTACTTTTGAAATAAAAAAGTTTTGTTGAGCGAAATACTTTTATTTATTTTTTGTATTATCCAATTAGATATATTGTTTTTTGGATGTGCCTTTTTACACCTTGTTCTCGCAAAGAAAACGGATGAAAGATGATTTCAAACAGAAGGTGCATAGATGAAGAAGATATACTCACTTTTTGTCCTCAATGATATTCATTAATGGCTGACGACTGTATCCGAACATGGGCAGGATCTTGATTGGCTGTTCCTTGTTCGTTTGTCCTGACTTTTGCTCTAAATCCATGCTCATCCGCTACGTAATCAACCAGCCTTTGGACACCATGGGCGTCTGTGAAACCATAACTTCCAATGACTTTTTTACCATCACTCTGCTCTTTGCGGTACTGATGATTACCATGGTGATCCTTGATGTCATATCCGAAACCATAAGGATGAGGAGGATACTGTTAAAATACGTAAGGAAAAAAAAAAAAAAAAAAAAAAAAATCTCTGTAAATCTGTTATTTAAAATCGTGCTTTCGACGTAGAGCAGGTAGAATTTCTAACAAGTAAAGTACTGAAAACTTTTCTGTTATATTTGTGTTTTACTGATCTTTCATGCTATATATGAGATTGGATTACCTACTATAAGATTGGATTATCTACTAAAATAAGTATATTATAGAAATCATATTGCGCTCATCTCTACAGAAAAATACATACATTTAAATTTAAAAAAATTAAAAATAATATAATGAAATAAATAAAACAAGAAAGTTGAATAAGAAATAGAAAATTAACATAACCAACTAACCTTTGTTTCATACTTCGATCCATCATCCCCATATCCTGTGTATCCATCATCGTAAACAGAATACTGAGCTGATGCCATTGATGTAAGGACAAGCAGATAACAGGCGAACATCTATAGAACAATACAAGTTTACTCATAAGTACACCTTGCACGGAAAAAAAAAAAAAAAAAAAAAAAAAAAAAAAAAAAAAAAAAAAAAAAAAAAGGCAGTTCTATAACTCGCGTTCTACTGAGATGTAGACATTCTACTGGGCCGAAGCATTTTAATGTTTAGCAAAACGCGATCTAGGGTATATATTCGATTTATATATAGCATTGTTCTACCGTTGGTGTTCTGACAAAAAAATCAGAATTTTTCTGAAATATTTTACCGATTTTTATCCATATTTCGATCCTATGACTCTACCCCAAAGTGCGAAGTTTTGTAAAATTCGGTAGAATAGTGTTTAAAAGATTAGCTCTCAAAATTGCTCCTCAATATTAATTGAATTTGGAATACATCATTGTCGATTATTCAACGCACTACCAGCCCCGCCTATACCTCCCGTGGTACCGTCCACCATCTTACGACGCTTGTCTGAGGCGGGGTTACGCTCACAGAAGCCTTTAAGGCGTTTGCCTTTCACCCCACAACATCGGCGGAGTCGTCTGTTGCAGCCGATCATCACGGCTGCCATCAGACTGACATCGTATAGTGTCCAGCGATGAATCCCGCTTCACTCTTGAAGCAGATGACCACTGTGTTCGTGTCTGGAGAGGAGGGGGCCAGCGGTCCCAAACAGCCCTTGTTTTACAAAGGCATACAGCCAATAGCCTCTGGTGTGATGGTGTGGGGCGCTATTTCTTCTGACACAGGTAATCTTTAGTCATCCTCCGTACATCTTCAACAGCTCAACGATATGTTGATACGATTCTGCGGACGGTTGTATTACCCTTCATGGCACGTCATCTTAGGGGCATTTTCCAACAAGATTATGCCAGGTCACATACCCTCGTTTATCTCTGGACTGTCTCCGTGCGGTTGATACTCTTCCTTGGTCAGCAAGGTCACCAGACCTTTCACCAATCGAGTATGTTTGGGGCATGGTAGGCCATCAGATTCGGGCACCACAAAATAGCAACAACTGATGAATGCCTGGCAGAATGTGTCGCAGGATGACATTAGGAACCTCTACCACTCCTTGCCGCGACGAATTCCAGCATGCATTGCCGCCAGGGGCGGTTTGACGAACTACTGATTTGAACACTCAATGGGTGATTGTGAGCCGTGAACAGGTACTATGACCTTGATTTTTTTAATCATTATATTATCTGTGTATGAGCTATACACATATTCAGTTTCATCAGAAACAACCACTTCCTTCATGGTGCTTTGATTTTTTTGCAAAAGAGTGTATATCTATACACTACAATTCCAATTATCCGAATTCCGGACTACCCGAATCGCTTTCAGAATTTTTCAGAATCAACTGAAGAAGAGACGGGAAAGGAGAAAAAGGAAAAAGAAGCTCAAGAAAAGGAAAGAAAAGATGAGGATGACGTATCACTTGAGGAATTAAGAAACATTCTTTTCAAAATTCATGGAAGTTCGGAAGTTAAAGCTGAGGATACAGCAGAATGGATGGTGTGTGATTCTTCAGACCCTGAGTTTCAAATTCTAAATTATGATGAACTTATTGAAAGTGTGAGAGAAAATGACCTTAACGTCGAAATTGAAGCAGACACGGGACCATCATCCAGTGAAGCGTTTGCCGGCCTTGAAACTGCGTTGAAGTGGAAGGAGCGTCAGCCCGTGTGTGACCACATGCAACGTCTCATTGTCAAGCTAATGCGCGACTTGGCTTTCCGAAAACGGATGAAGACAGTCAAATAGTTTACCTTGACCGAGATTTTCAGCAAGCAATGACTTTCAGCACTTGTAAGTACTGTAGAGTACGTTATATAACGTATGTATAAGTGTTGCCTTTTCATTTTAATTACTTAAAACCTCTTTTTCTTTAAAAATAGTTTTTCTATTATTTTCAACATACAGTTTTAAGGTATTTCTCCAGCCTTCCTAGCGTGGCTTCGTGGTGTAGTGGTTCTGCACACTGGGCCGGTATCCCAGAGGTCCGCGGTTCGATTCCCGGGAAAGGCGGTTGCTAATTTTTCATCTTACCTGCTTTTAAGAATTCTAATGTCTCTACAGTGGCACCCGAACTAAAAGGGGGTTGGATGATGATTCTCCTCACCCAGGATTTGGCGATTGGGTCCTCTAAAAACCTCAGTCGCCCTTTAAAAGGGGGGAGTATATAAGGCATTTCTCCCGCCTTCCTATCATGCCTTCGTGGTGTAGTGGTTCTGCACACTGGGCTGGTATTCCAGAGGTCCACGGTTCGATTCCCGGCGAAGGTGGTTGCTAATTTTTCATCTTGCCTGTTTCCAAGAATCCTAATGTCTCTACACAGTACATACAGTAATTAATTAAACTGTACGTAGACCCTTTCTTCGGAAAAAATCCGATTATCCGAATTTTTGATTATCCGAATGGGTCCGGTCCCAATGGATTCGGATAACTGGAGATATACTATATATGTTGCAACCAATAATTGAAGAACGTTTAAAGAGAAACAGCAAAATTTACAGCTAAATATTACAGCATTTGTATCACTTGCAGTTTACCCACACACAGTATTTTCCACAGTGTCAGATAGATAATTTTTAGATTCACGACGATATAAGCTGACAGATATGAGCGTAGGTATTTCGAAAACATTAATTGATTTGACAACTGATTCTAGCATAAAACAAAAATTTAAAGAACGAATTAAACACATTTTGAGTAAATTTGTCAGAAGAATATCCGAATTTATCAAAACTAGCTACTCACAATTTATCTCCTTTTGCGAAAGAGTATTTGTATGAGGCAGAGTTTTCACATTAGGCAGCAAAAAAATCCAGATATAGAAACCAATATATCTGTTTCTGTTATCCGAATTCAGGTTTCTAACATTGCGCTTCACATTAAAAGAATATATAATTCGAAGAATCAAACACATGGAAGTCACCGAAAGCTTAAAATGCTTTACTTTTTAAATAATATTTGTTTCATTTAATTAATTTTGTATGTTATTTTTTAAATTAAAAGTTTGTAAACGTTTGTTTTATAAGGGTATGGCATATAAATTGAAGTAAATGTTTATTTCGTTTATCTGCTATATCTGCGTTGTCGTTTATTAGGAATAAAATCTCAAATCTGGTTTTTGTGTTCCTAAAAGTCTTTCTAAACTATGCCAATTCAAAATCTCGTATTTCATGTATTTGTTGGAAATTTGACAAATGAAGAGCTTATAGCTTTTTTATTATGCACTTATTTTCGCATTATTTTATTTAAGTACATTTTAACTTCCTTGTACGAAGTAAAGGAAGAATTGTAATTACGAAAGGTTCTGGGTACCATATTTCAACGGAAATATCCATTTTGACCGCTATCGAATGCAATTTAACAATGTTTTTGTGTGACATCTGCACGTAAGGACATAATAAAGGATTCCTTTTTCCCAAATGAATTATAAAACTGATTTGAAATGGATTCAGAAGAGAATTTTTCGGAGCATCTGTACGATGTACGTATCTCGCATAACTCAAAAACGAGTAGCCTCAGAACGTTGAAATTTTGTGTATAGGACTGCTATAAATGTAGATGTGCACCTCGTATTTTGGTTGCAATCGGACGTACCAAACTTATATAAATTTTATGTATATATACATCCACTCTGTTACTCGGCTCAGTAATCTCAGTTTCTTTACTCTTATATGCTTGTAAATAGTGCATTTTTTGCTTTAAAAATAATTGAATTATGTTGTTCTTATCTTCCGGTTAAAGTTTTTATGCCTTTAATAAACTTGAATGCAATAGTTGTACAATTATCAACAATTCAAAAGTTGTTTAAGTGCGGCTAAGCCTAATTTTTGAACGTAGCAGCCATATTTGTTTACATTTGAAACTTAGCAGAATAGTGGATTTGTTGGCAATCTAGAGAAACTAAGCTTCATAAAAATAACGTCTTCTTTTTAATTGCGAATTAAATCATCATGCGTAATCCATTCTGGAATTATCATTTAAGTTTTTAATTATACCATATATTGACTCAGCATAGCGTCCACAACAAATTAGCCAGTTCCTACGCCTTCCGTATCTTTTTACCGAGTGAGACCAAAAGTAAACTTTCAGTTTTGTGCGCCAAAAAATCTGCCTTCTTGCACGCTGACCGAATGTTTGTTTTTACGCAGAAACTCTGATTTTAATTATAAAAATTGTTTTTAAAATTGTTTTAACTGTATTTTTGTTTTATATTTCTGTATATTTTTCAATTTTTGCTAAAGATATTTTGAGGTTTTATGTATTTTTGCCTTGTCGCGAAGTGAGAACTGAATTTATTGAATGAGAAATATATCTCTAATGAAATTCGAAGAACTAAGTTTAAATGAAATGCAGCAAAAAATGCGCATAATTTAATATTCCGTACAAGGAAGCCATGTGGTGTACACATCAAATTTTTTATTTTATTTAAGTACATTGTTATTTATTTTTAAAATTCTCTTTTCGTTTTCTTCTTTATTTTTTTCCTAATGCGTCTGGAATTTATTTCATATCCTTGTGCTGAGCTCGTGTAAACGAAGTTACTCATGATATGTCTCTTCCCGGAAGTTAGTTATTATTTTTACGAAAGTATCTAATTAGCAAATATTATAATTAGATGCTTCGGTAAATAAACTCACCTATACTGACCTCTAAGAAACAAAGACTTCCATGCCTCTTCGTCACCTTGTTTTGTTTGTTTAAAGAGAGATTATTTAAGCAGTTCCTTAGATGACTCAATCTTATTACACCCTAGCTCGAAGGCCAGAATGTATTGTTTTTCTAGCTCTTCTAAAAACAAATTCTTCCTTGCTTTGCATTAAATTTGCAGTTATATAGTTGTGTGGCCAAGATAAAATGCTCATAGCAATTATTAATAAATTTTATTAATATAGTAAGCATTTCAAATTAGTAATTTAGAACATTGTTTAATTAGTTCTTTGCCAACAAATTAGACGAATACTTATTCCATATAAGAGTCAAATCAAATTTATATGGCCCTGATCTGAATTAAAATATCAGAAATTAATGAATAAAAAGGAGTTACTACTTACGATGCAATCTTCAAGATTAAAATCAAATTTATCGATTATTGCAGAATGCTACTTAAGTTATATAAAGCTGGAAGTAACTTCACGTAATAGATAGAATATATTTAAAATTTATATAATATTTGGTGGGGTAAGCGGTAAGCAGATAACGGATTTTAATGTATTAATGAATTATTCTGAAATCATATTTAAGACCTACTGATTGCAATGTATTTTTTTACAAAGTTACAGGTCGATATTTTAAACGCAAAAGTTAATAATAAAGTTAAGATAAGTAATTTATTTATAGATAACGTAATGTAATATTATAAAAAGATGACAACTATATAAAACTCCAAAAAATACAATAAAAAAAATCTGAAAGATTTCAGATTTTAAAGGCCGCACAAAAGGGTTTGTTAAGGTTTTTCACGCTGAGTTCGCAGTCTAAGAGTCTACTGTTACACTCCCACCTACCAACCTATTTTTGTTGTCTTTTTAACTTTATTGTTAAGCATAATTTTCTTCGCATTTACACCATATACAATTCAACAGTAAAATTAAACAAATTTTAAAAGCAGCATGGTAAATAGTATGCTTAGAATTTCCAAAGCAGCATTAAATGTTGGCATGCATTTTCAGTTTTTTAGCTCAAAGGGGCATTTTGCCCAGAAAGGCTATTAATTTCGATTTGGCATTTTGCGTTGAAACACTTTATAAAGATGTATCACTTTCCAAATTATTGCCACCAAACATTATCACACTGTATTATATTTAAAGAAATTAAATAATCAAGAATCTGTATAAATCTATGTATTTTTCTCGCATTGTGATAAAACAACAATCGTCAAATTTTGAATAACGTAATTCTCCACCCGAACATGGGCACCTGGAACCTCGAATTTGAATTCAAAATTTAGAAGTTGCTTTATTATCGTTTTCATATCTCGTAAAACTTTATAACGAATTTTTAGTTAACAAACACAACGATTTTAAAGCGAGCAATGGCAACACTGTACGAAAAAAAAAAACATTTTTATCTCCTGCACGCGAGACTGTGTATCAATACTAAAGGTGTGCTCTTTTTAAATCATTTTGTGATATTGCTGTTGAATTGAATTTTATGGTTTAAGTGGGACGAACGTGATACTTAATAACAGGTAACATACAAAACGCTAAAAAAAAGGCCTGTTCGGGCGTAATATGAAATTTTAGATTTATTTATTTTATTATGTTATTATTTTTCACAGTTTTTTCTTATCTTGATTATCAACGTTTTGTGTGCCTACTTTATTTATTATTAAACATCACGTTTTTGGCCCTCACCCCACATAATATTTGATTCAATAGCAAAGTCAAAAAATATTTAAAAATAGCTTATCTTTAGAATTATCTACAGAAAGTCTTCTCGCATATAATTTTACTTTTTTCCCCGACAGTGTTGCCACTGCTCTCTTTCAATTCGTAGAATTTGTTAATAAAAAATTTGTTGAAGTTTTACAAAATACGAAATAGATAGTCAAATAAATTCCAAATCCAGGTTCTCATGTTCGGGTGGAGGACTACGCTGTTCAGAATTTGGTGATTCTAAGCACCGTTGTTTTTTTCACAATGAGAGAAACATACATGCATTCATAAAGATTTTTTATAATTGAATTTGCTTAAATATAATACAGGGCAATAATGTTTGGTGGCAACAACTTGAAAATTGATAAGCTGTTTATAGTAATTCTACTCAAAATGCCGTTGCGAGACCTTTTGGGTTAAAAATTTAAAATTGGTACTATTCGGTTTCGAGGGCCGTAAACAAATTGCAGCGATAATGTACGCGCAAAAGCGCCAAATCTAGCAAACGCGCTTATTTAACAGCGCGCCAAATCTAGCGTACGCGCTGATTTCAGATTGCGTAAGTTTATATAGTTCTTGATTTCTTAACACGCCATTGAAATACTAGTTTAATTTTTAAATCCTTTTTTAATATCCTATGAATTTAACAATTTGGGAATTGCCCATGACGAAAATTCGGCAATAGAATTTTGGGTAAAGTGCAAAATCCCCCACTGCTTGACGCGTTTTTAAGAATTGAACATACTCGGTATCCATGTGCACATCGACCTATTTTCACTTAAAAAAAAAATCCTAGAATTGTACAAAAATGGCACTGCGCACACCCTTGATTTTATCTATGTACACATCAACCTATTTTCACTTAAAAAGTAAAAGAAAATTAAAAAAAAAAAAAAAAAAAAAAAAAAAAAAAAAAAAAAATTGTTTTTACCCTTGTAAAAAGCGGCAAACAAATAAGTGAACGATTCTGCACTTTACCGAGAATATTTTCAAAGAAAAGGCATCATTCATTATAGAAAATTACGTTTGAACAACCAACGAGATGAAATTATTCTTTAGCGATAACTAGGTAGCGAAATAGCGATGCAAGCATCCAATCAATTATGTTTAGAAAATTTTATGTAAATTATAATAATGATCTGAAATAGTTATTTACACTTATTCAGTCATGTTTAGCCTTTTTCATATAAATTATATTAATAAAAAATATTATATGAAATTAAACTTTCATCTAAATTAAGACATCAATCCTAAATACGAGTAGTTATTTACTATATACTTCTTTTGTTGCCGCAATTATTAGGGTTGCCGCAATTATTTTTGGCAGCATTGGCATCAAGAATAGTTTGGCGATTTTTTACGGCCCTCGAAACCGAATAGTACCTGTAAATTTCTAAGCGAAAAGTATTATTATTAAAAACTATTAACATGCAAGAGAGTTATGTTAACTGATATCCAAAGATCCATCTTTATTTTGAAAAATCCCTGGGGTTATTAACTTCATTTCTCGTGTAAATGAATAGGAAGATTTGCGATAGATTTGAACATTTAAATTACACATAAAATGTTAATACTAGATTTGATTGCTTAAACGCTATTGAGTAGTTACGTAATATATTCATGCTAAAATATTTTATTCTTTTTTTAAGAAGATATATTATATTTCAGGTTTAAAAAATACATTTGTAAAAAGTAATATTATGAAATATTCATATTATAAAACTGCAATTCTTTAAGAATCCTGTTGTATAGAATATGATGAAAACTGCAACAAAATAAAGCCAATAAATTTAATTATTAAAAAAAAAAATATTTTTCTTTACTAAAACGGCAACACTTACCATGATCGAAGCCATAATGATTAAAAAGTAGAGATTAAGTCCAGCTTGCGAAGGGAAATTTCTCTATTTGTAGTGTTGAGCTCAGTGTTCTTGCATTACATCCAAATCTCTTTATATATACAGAATCATAGCGTGCGCGCTCAACTGCAGAAAGTGCAAGTATTTAGTAGGTCAGCAGATCACCGTTAGGGGGCGGGGCGAACCATTCAACACGAGAAAACGTTTTAATTTACAGCTCGTTACCACTCAGGGTTTTGAGATTGGAAATTCGGCATTGTGCGGTCTTTGTTTTTGATGAAAGTATGCTTCCTTGTTTTCTGTCGAATGCGTACTTACATACATTGTCTATTTATGGCACCTATAAATATTATAATTAGTTGCATTCACAGAAGGTGAAAGGCGATGAAAATATAAGTTTATTTTCGACATCTACTTTTATATACCTTACGGAAACATAATCATAAGTGCTTCAGGTATACAATTATTTGAGATAATTATTTATTCAAGAAATTATTTTTTTAAAATTTATAAAACTTGAAAGTTCTTGACATGTTGTACCTGTAACAAGAAGTTTCTCAATTAAAATGAATAGCAATCGAAGATTGATAAAATATAACAGGATTATTTCTAGCCCATTTTTTTTGGGTTCCGCTTGTTATTTTATGTATATGTACAAATATGAACATGATGCCTATATATGTATGATTCGTTAATTTTTACTTCCTTGTACGAAGTAAAAATCGCGAAAGTATTGTAATCGCGAAAAGTTTCAGGCAGCATATTTCAACGAAAATATATATTTTGACCGCTATCGAATGCAATTTAATGATGTTTTTGCGTGATATCTGTACGTAAGAACAGAATAAAAGACTAGTTTCCTCCAAAAAAAAAAAAATTATAAAACTGCTTTAAAATTAATTCTGAAGAGAATTTTTCATGGCGTCTGTACGAACGTATGTACGTACGTGCGTACGTACGTATCTCGCATAACTAAAAAAACTAGTAGCCTCAGAACGTTGAGATTTTGTATATAGGACTGCTGTAACATGTAGATGTGCACCTCGTATTTTGGTTTCTATCGACCGTGCCAAACGTATATAAATATATTTATATATATATCCACTCTGTTACTCGGCTTCAGGTGATCTCAGTTCTTTACTCTTATATGTTTGTAAATTGTGCATTTTTTGCTTTAAAAATGATTGAATTATGTTGTTTTTTTATCTTCCGGTTTAAGGTTTTTATGCCTTTACGTAAATCTGTATGAGAAATTTTTGCAGAATTATCAACAATTTTAAAAGTTGTTTAAGTGCGCCGCTAAGCCTAAATTTTAAATAACATGGCGGCCATGTGATTCTTTTACATTTGAAACACCAGAACTAGTAGATTTTGTTGCCAATCTAGAGAAACTTAGCTTTGCAACAACAAAAGATAACGCCTTCCTTTATTATTGCGCCAATTAAATCATGCTTTAATCCTTTCTGGAATTTTTTCGAGGAAATAAGTGTTTCAGATTTAATTCGTAATTTTTAATATAGATATTTTGAGTTTTTATGTATTTTTGCCTTCTCGCGAAGTGAGAACTGAATCAATTGAATGAGAAATACTCAAACGTCTGTGAAAAACTGTTCCTTTTTTGTTTTGTTTGCTTAATTTCTTTTATACCTCATTCTAGCTTTATTATAGTATTTGAATAGAACATGTGGGAACGATTAGATAATTCTATTCTTTAAATGATATAAATTTTGTGCATTATGAGTTATAATATGAACAAAATATAATACTGTTAAGTTGAATCTAGCGCCAGAGTGTAACTACGGTAAACAAATACTAGAGTGAATTTTAAAGAATGCACTTATTCTATTGTGGTTTATGCGCTGTCGGCGAAGTAGATTTAATTCAATCCAATAAGTTTAAATGAAATGCAAGAAAAAATGCGTATAATTTAATATTCCGTACAGGGAAGTCATGTGGTGTACACATCAGATTTTTTTTTTATATAGCCGGGCTGAAGGTATTGGGAATAAGATGCTTGCTTCAGGAAAAATGTGAAAAGTTCTGAAAAATTAATTAGAAAATCTATGAGAAGAGCGTTTCGTTTACATACACATACGCGTTTTGAGAGCATTTGGACTAATGTCCTTTTTGGGTAAAAAATATTTAAAAATAGCTTATTTTTAGAATTTCCCATAGAAAGTCTTCCTGGAGATAAACATGTTTTTTCCGCGCAGTCTGTGCCACTACTTGCTTTCAAATCCTTCAGTTTGTTAATCAAAAATTTTTTAAAGTTCTACAAAATATTAAATCGATAATAAAATAAATTCGAAATTTCAAATTTGGGCTTCCACACGTCCATATTTATAGGAGGATTACGTCATTCAAAATTCGATGGCTCTATGTACCGTTGTTTTATCCCAATGCGAGAAATATACATACATTAATGCAGATTTTTCATTATTTAATTTGTTCAAGTATAATACAGGACTCTAACATAAAATAAATTCGAAATTTCAAATTTGGGCTTCCACACGTCCATATTTATAGGAGGATTACGTCATTCAAAATTCGATGGCTCTATGTACCGTTGTTTTATCCCAATGCAAGAAATATACATACATTAATGCAGATTTTTCATTATTTAATTTCTTCAAGTATAATACAGGACTCTAACATTTGGTGGCAACAGTTAGAAAAGTGAAACGGACATTTATAGTGATTCAACGCAAAATCGCAAAATGAAAACAATAGTCCTTCAATGACAAAGTCCCTTTGGACTAAAAACACTGCAAAATCCTCTGCTCTCAGTCTTCTTATCTGTTTAAATAGTAAACTAAAGAATATTAAGATCTCACTCTTCAATCCAATGACGGCAGGATAGGATGGATTGGATAATCAATCCATTTGATCTTGAGATAACAGGAATCTTCTTCTTATACGTATATCGTTTGCATAAATTACACAAACATGAATATATAGACATCTTTATCAAACATCGGCGATATTGTTACCTTTATACGCCAATGTTAAATGATTTTGAAACCACTAGCAATCACAAACACTGCAAATCCAAACTCATTATCAAGAAATTCTCTCTTGAAGTATTTAAAGTTTGAAGTTTGCCACTTGAAGGCTGTTCGCACACTTTTTAGACGATTTTCATTGTCATTACATAAATATTTTACATAGAAGGTTTTGTAAAAAAGACAATTATCAGTTTGTTATTCAGCATGTATGACCGATAATAGGAAGGCAATAACGAGAATGTGAACCAAACATTGGTGATGCGTATTCAAGATCGATGTTGTCAATGTACCATTGTACTGTATATGTCCTAAGTGTGGATTCTGTGGGATAGCATTTCGAAATCTTGCATAGACAGTGACCTTCCTCTTGTTTTAAAGCTTAATTCTGCAAAATTTCATTAAGATCAGAATAGAATGGAAATTTGTATGAAGGTCACGCACGCGAATAAACAAACGTATACTCTTCATTATATGGAGAGATAATTTTAATGATTCCTGACAGTGTAATTTCACGGCTTTAGTTAGTAATTAATAATAACTGAAATGAATTTGCTTTTATTGCTTTTAAGCAGCTTAGGTTTTTTTAATTAATAACAATAAATTTCAAAGAAAAATTAAATAATTTACACTTCTTTGAGCGATAAAACACTTAAAGCGTTTTAATTTGGGCAGCAGCAAAAGTTTTTCTTTAAATCGCTGAGTTCGTTTGTTAAATTTGAAAGACACATATATTGCGTTTTGCTGAGCGGCAACAGACTTATTTTATATTCTAGAGTTTTTCGATTAAATTTGAAAATTTGAATATCTTACCCTGTACCGAGTGGCAACACAAGGCTTTTAAACCTTTGAGTTTTCACCCAAAAATTTGTTAAATTAGCATAAAATATATGCTTGTTGTAAGTATGTATTTATTTTAGTTAACCAGTAATAGATAGCATCAGTCATTCTTAAAAAAAGGCATCTGCTCTAGGTCACGTGTTAGGAAATGTGTGTTATACCATTTATTTTATATTCCGAAACTTTACTGTCACGTCTTCCTTTCCGTTTTCTTGCCGGAATGCGAATTTTAGCTCTCACGTATTTAAGCGAGGGTTTGAGATTGCTTTAGTTAGAGCGTGTTCTGCCTGTTGAAAGCCACGTTGCTAGTTGATATTCTAAGAGAGCATTCCTGTCTACGGCGTTACTTAAATCTTGCAATTAGTGTTGTTACGCCGGTGTAAGTTGGAGCCAACTTGTCTGTTATATATCTCTGCATATCCTTTGACTAATTTTTACTTAGATTTAGTTTAAATATTTTGATTTCTAGCCATAAATGCTGGCTGAGTTTGTAAGCATCAAGAGTGCCTTCAGTTCAATTATTTGAGTTCTCAATAAAAGAGTCTTTTACACCCTTAGTACGTTTCTGTTTTCTGATCTAAACATAGCGATAAATCAGTGTATGTTACCAAAACGAGTAAGACTCTACAATGTAAAGAGTGTTGTAGTTTTTGAGAAACATTATCCAGACAGTGACCTTCTTCTGATTTTGAAGATCAAGTGTGCCAAATCAAGTGATCAAGTGTTTCCATGACAATAAAACTGTAGATTTGTATTAAAGACAAACCACACGGACGTTTTTCTTTATTTACACAGATTTATTGTTTATAGCTCATAGGTAGAATAGGATGGATTGGATAAGCAAACAAAATATTCAAATATATTATTTCAAAAGCAAATAAGGTATTAAATTTTCATGAAAAAAGAAAAGTTTTAAAATTCATTCTAATTTAGTATATACATATTTGATTCTATAACGATTGAATATATTCGAACAAATAAAGACTGACGACGATTAAAATAAGAAAATGAAAATTTTCACAGCTAAGACACAAAAGAAAATTTTGAAATTTGTTGTTACAGGCAAGATATTTTCCAATAATTATTGATTAATTAAGAAGTTAAACAACAAAAATCAGCGTTTTTCAAATTTTCACAGGACTAGTTTCGATGGTTTAGTGCAAATCATTTGCGCTTTTGCAGCTGAGGATGATGGTTCGGTAAAACCATCGAAACCTGTGAAAATTTGAAAATATAACGCTGATTTGTGTTGTTTGACTTCTTAATTAATATTTGTTCGGCGTGTTATTGTATCTT